GAAGACAAGAAGCTAGAGGATTATCGGATAAAAGAAACGAAAGACTATCCTCAATTGGTTGTTTCATTACCATCGTTGGAATCGATTCCTCAACAACCTCATCTAACACATCTATAAAGCAACACTCATCTTCATCCATGGGATGTTGACTTGCATGGAAAACATTAAGTTTGATCATCATATTGCCAAAAGAGAAGTCTATTATCCCGGATCTATAATTAATTGTTGCATTTGCGGTGGCAAGGAATGGTCTTCCCAAGATGATTGGGATGTGGTTAGAGGGATTAGCAACCGGTTTGGTATCAAGAACTACGAAATCAACCGGAAAGTAGAATTTATCCACCTTGACAAGAATGTCCTCAACCATGCCCCTAGGTGTTTTGACAGATCTATCGGCCATTTGAAGCACCACTAAGGTTGGCTTCAATTCATTCAACCCTAATTGGACATATACAGAGTAAGGAATCAAGTTGACACTTGCACCAAAGTCAAGAAGAGCTCTATGAATTTCATGAGTTCCAATTACACAAGAAATAGTTGGAGCACCGGGATCTTTGAACTTAAGTGGAGTGTTTTGTTGAAGAATGGAGCTCACTTGCTCCGTGAGGAACACTTTTTTAGGGCTTGGTCCCTTGCTCTTCTTCTTTTGTGTGCAAAGATCTTTCAAGAATTTTACATAAGGTGGAATTTGCTTAATGGCATCCAAAAGTGGAAGATTAAGATTGACTTGCTTAAAAACTTCCATCATGTCATGTGTTTTCCCTTCTTGCCTCCCATAAGGCGAAGATTCTTTTAAAGCATAAGGGAATTGAGCTTTTGGCTCACAAGACTTTGCAATTGGAGAGGATTATGGAGAAGATTGAGAATCCCGGTTAGGAATATTTTCATTCAAAGGAGTAGGAATGAAATTGGGAATTGGATGGGTAACAACTTTAGGTTGCATCGATTCACTATCTTCCTTTGGTAGTTCAACCCTATTGTTCACTTGCTTACCACTTCTCAAGGTGGTGATGGCTTACGCTTGAGCTAGGGAAGAATATCCCGATGTAGAGTTTGCTTCCACACAAAATTGGGCCTTTGGATTCCTCTCGGGTTGACTAGGTAATTTCCCAATTTCTCTTGCATTCAATGTATTAGCTATGGTCCCAATTTGGGATTCAAGCTTTGATATAGATTGAGAGTGGGAATGCAACAAGTTGGTATCCTTTTCAAAGCTACCCAAGGCCATCAAAACCTTGTCTTCAAATGTGGAATTACTAGAGAGTGCTTGAGGATAATAGAAGCCAACTTGGGAATCATACATTTGAGGATATGAGAAGTCATTCATTTTTTGATGATGGAAAAAAGAAGAGACGAACCCTTAAGAACCTCCATTTCTTTTATGAGGTGGAATGTATTTTCTTTGAAGATTTTTAGCTTGATAAGGGCTTTCATTCCAAAATGGAACATATGCTTTTGAATAAGGGTGAGCAAATGTAGCATTAACTTGTTTAAAGTGTTCATTAATAACATGTCCATGGGGACAATTGAAAGTAGTATGCAAAACACTTGAACATGTCATGCAAGGCTCACAAAGATGAGTTGTATGATGAAAAGGGGATACATTGGTAGCCAGTTTTTGATTCAACAAGAATTGATCAAGTTTTTGAGAAAGGGTTTTAACCTCGGCTACAATTTCCCTTGAATTTTCAATTTGACACACTATTACACTTTTCTCCTTTTTAGTAAAACCATGATCAAGCCGAGAAGCGTAATATTTGTGCAAAGAGTTTTCACTCATTTTTTCAAAAAGGTGCCAAACGTCATCTTTATGTTTTCCAAAATATGAACCTCCACACAAGGTATCAACTATGTCCTTTTGCATGTCGGATAGGCTTTCATAGAAGTATTGGATAACTTACCATTTTGGAATACCATGGTGTGGACACTTTCTTAGCAAGTCATTTAATCTCTCCTAAGCCTTATCCAACAACTCTCCTTCCCTTTGAGAAAATTCTCTAATTGAAGCACACATTACATTGGTCAAACTTACGGGGTAAAATTTTTTTAAAAACTCATTTTGCATTTGTGCCCAAGATGTTATTGAATTTACCTCTAAAATGTTGAATGACGACGGCCGTTCCAATACGCCAAACTAAATGTAGTGAATGTGTGGTTCAAGAAAAGCCTTTTATGTCAAATTTAAATTTATAAAAACCACTACCAACACCACTACTAACGTAGCAAGGGTGAGTAGGGATCGTCCCAAGGGATTATACGTGTTGGAATTTCAACTTCGACTCTAGCGTACCAAATGATTGCAAAAGAGAATTGGGTTGGTTGATTACTTCTAGAAAAGAATTAATTAAAATGCAATAAGATAAAGAGTAAGTAAGAAGGAAAGGTCTTGGGGTGTAGAGATCACCACCAAACAATTCTATTCCAAACCATAATCAAGTGACTAATGAGGGAAATGAATGTGTTGCAACAATGTTGTGTGTGTAAAAGACATTCAATTGGTAAGGGTGACTCAACAAGTGCAAATTGTCTCAATCAACATGTGTGAGGCCACAATACATCTATTAGTAAAGGAATATATTGTCTAGACATCATGTGAAGAGAACAAAATATCAAATCAAGTCATTGAACCTTTCATTAAGCTCATAGTCCAAGCAATCCATAAGGATGATTTAGTTAAACATGCATTATCTAAACATCATGTGAGAGGTACAAAATATCTATTGGGAGAGGAATAAATTGTCTAAACACATGTGAAAGATACAACATATCATAACTAGTCATTAATCCTTCATTAAGCTCAAAATCCACATACAACACAATATTAGAGGAATATGCCATTTGGACTCACAAGCATGGAACATCAAACATCAAGAGTAGATTGTCCTCCCATCTAATATTACACTACCACTATACTAAATCTACACTACTAGCATGAAAATAAAGCTATCTAGACTAGGGGAGAGGCACAAACCATCAAGAATAGGCATAAACCATCAAATGAACCAAAATAGCATTCATTAAGCATATCATCTTGATAATCTCTAGATCTAGAGCATCAATACACATAGACATGCATCAAAAACACTAAATCTAGAGATAAGCACATGAATATCCTACTCTAACATACATAGACATATGGATAGAATAGAATAGTCAATTGGAAGCATTAAACCATACAAACCATGAAATAATCAAGATTTATATATACATGAATATCAAGATGTATCATACAACACTAATCCCTCAATAATACACAAGATTAGAGTATAGAAAGCATGCTTGGGGCTAACTCTGGCCCCAAGAGGATGTCTAGACACTCATAGTAGTGATGATCCAACCCTCAAGGGCTAACTCCATGGCTGCTCCTTGTTGGTGAAGATCTCCTCCAATGGTGCTCTAGTTTCCTCCCTTCTTCCTCTCCAAGAATAGTCTCCAAGATGATTTTCAATGTGTGACAAGAGACTCTAGACTCCTCTCCAAAAAGTGTATCATATTCCTTATATAGGTAGGTCAAATACACCCTATGATGAGCTGTGGTCGTGCAAGGCATATTCTCCAATGATTGGATGAAGGACGGAATAAATGAGCTGGACTTTAACTTTTTCTCGCTGGAGGAAGTTTGATCGATCGAACCTTAACTTGGATCAATCGAAGATGGGTTCGATCGATCGAACTGCATCTTGGATCGATCGAAGTGGTCTGACTCCTCCGGATAAGGACAAGGCTGAGATATTTCGAAGATATTTATGGGGAAAAGGACAAAAGTGGTTGGTAAGCGTACAGCTGTGGATAAGATCAATCATTTGAATAGGAAAAAATAGGGTTCGATCGATCGAACTTGGAATTTCAGCAAAGGCCAAGGTTGGATCTATCGAGAAGTACTGTGATCGATCATAGATGTTCGATCGATCGAACTCTAAGTTGGATCGATCGAACTTTTCAGCTGCACAACTTAATTCCTTTTTGCTCCTTTCTTTCTCCACTTTGCTCCCTCCTTTGGTTTATCTCAGGATTGCTTCAATTAAGCTCTTATTTGGCTGAGTTAGCTCAATTTTGGGATTAGTGCCTGAAAATATAAATAACACGTAATAAGTCTAAAATGGCAAAGTAAGATAGATAAAGGTACTAGAATGCTTAAGCTTTACGGGTTTAAATGCGCACTTTTCGGTGCTCATCACAACCAATGCTTTGCTTTATTTTTAAGTGTGAAAGTGAAGAGGAGTAATTTAAGAACTTCCTCTAAGACATCCATGTACCTCACGGTGGAACATAGTTCAAGAAATTCATTAAGATGCCTATATGCACTACAAGAAAAGTAGGCTTTTACGACGTAGTATTTACGGGATCTTTTATTTTCTCTCGTAGAAGCCCCTTTTTACACATAAAGGGTCATGTTTTCACGGGATATTAATAAAATCCTCATTAAAAACCGTTTTCACGGGAGTTTAAAGAGGCCCGTTAATGTTTACATATATTTACGAAGAAAAAAGCCACTAATAGATTAAATATATTTTTAAGGGAGTATTTTCCTCCCGTGAATATGAAAATAAAATAAAAAATAAAAATCCTGCCCTCACTTAATGGGGAAAAAGCCTCTCGTAGATAAATATTTTTAGGGGAGAATTTTCCTCCCGTGAATATGAAAATAAAAATAAAAAATAAAAATCCCACCCTCACTTAACGGGGAAAAAGCCACTCGTAGATAAGTATTTTTAAGGGAGTATTTTCCTCCCGTGAATATGAAAATAAAAATAAAAAATAAAAATCCCGCCCTCACTTAACGGGGAAAAAGCCTCTCGCAGATAAATATTTTTAAGGGAGTAATTTCCACTCGTGAATATGAAAAAAAAAATGAAAAAAAAAAAATCCCGCCCTCACTTAACGGGGAAAAAGGCCTCTCATAGATAAATATATTTTTAAGGGACAATTTTCCTCCCGTGAATATGAAAATAAAAATAAATAAAAAAAATCCCACCCCCACTTTTCATCTCCCGCACGCACAAAATAGCAATAGTGAATAGCCCGCCCTTTTTTTTCCACGTCACCAACCACAAGCCAATCCCTTCTTTATTTCCCACAAGCCCTTCTTTCTTTCCCACGAGTCCACCTTGTTGCTTACTCTGCCGACAACACCAAGCTCCATCTTTGCCCTAGTATTCTTTCTTTCGTTATTTCTGTTGAGGAGGCCGGATCATTTACCCCATCGCCGCTTGAAGTTCTCTCTCCTATCTCTGCCTCGCTTAAAGTTCTCTCTCCTTTCTGTGCCTCACTTGAAGTTCTATCTCAAATCTCTGCCTCGCTTGAAGTTATATCTCAAATCTCTGCCTCGCTTGAAGTTCTATCTCAAATCTCTACCTCGCTTGAAGTTCTCTCTCCTATCTATCTCCATCTCTGCTTGAAGTTCTGGTTCGATAGTGAAAGGAAAGTTTTGGTTCGCTTGAATTTCTACCTAGACCAATACTGCTATTTGTTCAATCCTCTCTTTACTCTCTAGAACCGAGGATCCAGAGTTACCTTCATTCTTCAGGTAATCTGCAATCCCTCTTTCTCAAACATTTTAAGGGTTTTCTTCAATTCCTATTTCTTAAACAATTTTTAGGGCTAACATATGCATATTTTTTTTCTCTGGTTTATTGTCGATTTTATTTGCTAGATTTGCTTTGGTTGTGACTAGATTTGGGTTTTTTTTTTTTTTTGTTTTCCATGGGTTGACCGATTTAGAGCTTAAAAATAGACTCAATGAGAACAAAAAATTTCCTGCACCCGACAATTCTGTCATCGGTCATTTGTCCTTTATAACAGTCCATCACTTACAACCACTTGAACCAACTTAGAGCTTAAAAATAGACACAAAGAGAACAAAAAAGTTTTTAGGTTTTTTGGGCCTTTAGCTATCAATTCCCAAGTTTCTTTGCAAAGCTATAGTTAATTGGATATTTTGGTTCTAAGATATTAATGTTGTATGGATGATAATATTTGTTAAATTCACCAACTTTTAACTTAAAAAAAATGAGTTCGTCACTCTTTTTTTGCATAAACCAGGAGAAAAGGTTACAATAGTAAAACCACATGATAGGTACTATAACAAGCTGCTAATTTTAGTGCAATCTATAAAGTTGGATGTTGCTAATATTATGAAGCATCTTTTTGAAATATATTGGAAGAAAATAAAAATCATTTTGCATCTTCAAATTTTAGTATTTTATTCCAATGCAATGTAACTCTACCCTTTGCAATTTGACTAATTAAGTTGTTGGAATCAATTCTTATTCTTGATTATACAATGCTCGTGCTCACATATGTTTTGCTGCCCTGCATTTTCCTTAATATTTCTCTTGTATGAGAAGTATGCAGTTTGATGGTGAATTGTTGCACTGATTCCAATCTGAACGATAATTTTTAACTTCCAAGACTGAAGAACTTAAGGCCTCAACTTTATTCTGCTGCTGAGTACTGTGAGAAGTCTTATCTCCACAGTGAATAGAAAGAGATGTAAGGCTTCTGCAATTAACTGTGAATTACTACATGTAATTGTTCTTTGAAGTATAACTATGGTGGTTGTAGCAACTATATATGTAGCTTTAACATCATATTAATAACTATATATGTAGCTTTAACATCATATTAAAATTAAAAATGAATATTCAATTTTTTTTTTTAAGTTTCATATCGTATACATTTGTTCTGCAAATTGAATGTTGGGGTTTTATATATGTGGCTTTTACCTAGATGATCAAGTTTCCGAGCCATTAGGAGTGGTGGGTTTTAAATGTGTCCTTTATAACAGTCCATCACTTACAACCCACTTGAACCAACTTCCACATTAGAGTTAGGGTTGACTCCACTAATATAGCAACTTAGTTATCCACATGACAGTCTTGTAGTCGGCCACATGTCCACAATTTTGCCCTCCACGTGTGACAAATAAAATCAGTAAAATACCTGGTCCAATTCGATCGCCCAGATGAAAATTTGACTGGAGTGCTGCATACTCACCTTTTTATACACATTTCAACCCTTGGCTTCCCAAGAAAAGGCCCACTAGGTATGCTTCAATAGAGAGGCGTGTAAGTTTCTGAATTAGAGGAGTTTTGCTTGATTTAAGTTATACACACCTAAATGTTAAAAAATAATTGGAAAAATACTTGTGGTGTGGAAGAGCTCTCTTGGAATTTGTTTGAAGTCTCCCCCTCTAGTAATTCTAGTTGCACTTGCAATTCCTTCACAGTATGTACTGACAACTGGTGTTTTCTTTATGATTTTGCTATTAAGTAGTAAACATTTGTTCTTGTGTTTTTCATCTAATTTATGTTCTTTATGTTGGTTTTGGTTAAGCAATCTTTGAACTTAGGGTGTATCTTAATCTATACTAGTAACCCATCTTTTCGCCACTTAAGCCAAGGCACAATGGTTGAATTATATTTTTCTCCTTTTCCTGTTGAGATTTGATAAAACATGTGTGGCACTTTTTCTTTTTCTTTTTTCTTTTGGTTAGGTAAGAACTCACATGTCAAACACCCCCACATTAGGGAGGAAAGTGTATGCTTAAACCACCTAGGCCAATGGCCTGGTGGATTTTGGCTGTGTCTTTGTTCCCAAACCATAACAATTGAAAATGATTATATTCACTTTTCCTCCTACACTTGTTGCATTTCAGTTTCAGATGTTTTCTTAGTAAGCACTTTTGTGCAAGTTGTCAAAAAGGCCTTGGGGACATCATTGAGTTCCATTGTTTATGGATTGTGGATTATATTATGGTTCCCCAATTCCCACCATCTGCACTATTTTTCCCTCCTCTTCCATATATGCGAGCTGAATTGTCATCGTATCTGAAAATGAAAATGAAAGTAGAAATAAAAGGTTCTGTGGTGGAGCTATAGGGAAAAAGGATGCATTATCTCCAAATTATTTTACTTCAAAAAACTGCCCATAGAGAGGCACATAAGTTTCTGAATTAGAGGATCAACTGAAATAAAAAGAAAAGGGTCAGTAAAGCAATGAACCATGGTTCATCACACAAGTAAGGAATTTCCATCCAATGTCACTTGAGAGTACTTAAAGAGAGTAAAATCATTCAGCCGCCAAAGATGATTTTGAAAACATCCAGCTTTTTAATATTTGGTTAGGAATATAATCCATAGCCACGTTCATTAACCAAATAATCTGAATAGAATAAAGTCAACCCCTCCCTTCTAACTCCCCAATGGAAAAGAAAAAAGAAAATATATCTACATCTATATTTATAAATATAGAAAGAGGGAGAAGCAGCCAGGTTTGTAGCCTTGTCTTTTCCCTTTCTAGAAAGAAAAAAGAACTTACCTGGACAGGACTGGCAACTACAAGTAGTCCTCTAAGTACACCCGTTAAGAGACGGCCGTCAAGACCTGCCAAAGATATGGTCAAGGAACCAGCCCTAATAAATTTGGATCCCTCAACCTCTGTGGGGGTGAATGACCCATGTAGTGAGACAATGTCAAAACATCCCTACAAGAAAGTGATGGAAAAAAGAGATCTGATTATCCATATATACAAAATTAAAATCATAAATTTGGCTAAACAACAAGGCCTAATACAACCAAGGTTCACTGGGAGGATTGAGAGAAATAGTACAAATACATATGGATAAAATCAGCTCGTATTCCCAGTTCCTTGTAAAACTAACCTTCAAGTTTGCCACCCTTCATCATAAACCTTTTAAGGCCTCTAAATATAGGCCTATTCCACAAGTATAATGAACAAACAAACAAACGAAAAAAAAAATGCAACAATGAAGATCTAAAAGCACCTCAAAGCTCTTACAAGACCTAAAACAGAAATCTTGTGTTCTGAAATGTTCTGACAAATTATTGGAAAGTATCGAATGAGCAAATAATGAGAAATAGTACTACTATATCGAATTATTCCAAATCAACATATGCCACTAGTTGCAGTTTGAATGAGAACTCCATTTTAGACAATAGATGCTTAGGCTCAAATGCTAACAAGAATAAAACGAAATGACTCCCTATGCATGACAAATAGAACAATATAAATTATGAGATGCAATCTGACACCTCCATGGTAAACCAATATTGACTTTTGTCCCCCTACAAGTTGAATTTAAGCTTATAAAATGTTCGTATAAAAAATACTATCCAATTTAAATAATAATTTACAAAAACATTTTTTTTATAGAAAAAGACTGATATTATTGTTTCAATTTGTAACTGATATAGGTTAATTAATATTTAGTAAATATTACCCTTTTATTTTTTTCCTGGCAAAGAGAATATATTACTTAAAATTAAACAAGAGCATTACAATCAACAAAAACCACCAATAAGATAGAGACCAATATCATGGATTAAATTGATACAATCACTTGAGCATCATATTCAATTTCCACAGCCCATTGAAGACCACTACCGAAGAAGGTTCATAGTCCAAAACAATGTTTTCACCTCCAGTACCGATGCCTCACATACATGCTCCAACCGAGCAATGGCTGCCCGAATTACCACGCTATTGTTATATATATATATATATATATATATATATATATATATAATTCACTTATTACATACGATAGAGAAAATGATAAAATCCACCCAGTTCAGAAGAATTAGAGAGAATATATTAATAATTCACTTATTGCATAGGATAGAGAAAAGGATGAAATCCACCCAGTTCAGAAGAATTAGAGAGAATATATTAATAATTCACTTATTGCATAGGATAGAGAAAAGGATAAAGGATAAAATCCACCCAGTTCAGAAGAATTAGAGAGAATATATTAATAATTCACTTATCGCATAGGATAGAGAAAAGGATAAAATCCACCCAGTTCAGAAGAATTAGAGAGAAGAAAACAATTTAAACCATCGGTTTGATTTGTCACTCAAAAAGTCATTTCAATCAATTATATTTTTGTACAATATTTTTATTTTCAGTAGAGATAAATTGTTGAATTTTTTTTTTTTTTTTTGAAGTTGACACTTATTTTAGATAAGAATCAGAACATATGAACTTATCCTCATGGATTAGTTAGGTTAACATAAAGTCAAAAGTCTCGGCTCCACTAGAGAGAAATATGATCGAGTGTTCTATTCACTTGTTCATTGGCAAACACACATACTATTTGATATATATATATATATATATATATATATCGATATGGATTGATGGTATGCTATTTAATTAGTTACAATTGCAGGAAAATAAATAGAACCACCCTTTTTTGTTTTGAATGTTCTGTAATTTATTTATTTATTTATTTTTTGACAGGAATGTTTTTGTATTAGCTTCTACTATGTAGTGTTTTAGTTTCATATGAATTTTTTTTTTACAGTTTGAATTTCTTGCTATAGTTGTTATAACTTTTAATCACAATAATGTTGAATTTCTTTTTATAATTTGAAAAGTTGTTCAACTTTTAATCACAACAAAACAGTAAAAAATGTGTGGTTTCTTGCCACTTTTACCCATAATTATAGACCTCATGTGACATTTTGAAGAATAATACATCAGCCCCAAACCTCTCTTTTATGTACCCACTCCCAGCTTGCTTGGTGGTGTTCAAAAATTTCTTGTGCTTCTTGTTTGATTTGTTGTATAATATCAATTTTGCTTTAATGAAAAATAGGTAATGTTTATTTTCAGTTTATAGAGGAAGAACATGCTGCAAACGCCGTTAAGTATCTGACTCAAAGATTTTATGCTGGTAAGTTCTTTTAATTGCATATTTTTATCTATTCAATTTGGGTGTTGCGTCTATATGCATTCATCCTCCTGTATTTACTTGTTACCAGAATGTAATTTCTCATAATCTTAACTTAATGTCCATTTACTGAACTAGATGTATGCAGTTTTCTATTTTTTTTTTTTTCTTTATTTCTTTCTTCCTTTGCAAATATTTTTTTTTTTTTTTTGAGATGCAAGCAGAGATTTTCATTATTAGATCAATTATGCCAAGACAAATTACAAATACAAAAACTAAGCTCATGATTTTGTTGCTACAATTACCATGGTTTTCTTTATTCATCAAATGCCTAAATAGTTTTAGAAGTATGGTTTTTGAATTAGAAATCCTCATATCCATGAACTTAAAAAATTAATCCCTAAATTTACTAGCCAGCTGAACTAGCAAGGCAGATTGAATTGACCAATAATCTGCTCCCATCTCTATGTTTTTCCTTAACAGAGAAATTTGAAGTTTCCAATAAACTGAAAATATTACAAATTGCTTATGAAACCCATTTAGCTTAAACATGATTGATGGAATTAGCACCTTTACAAATTGTGTTTATTATTCATATATATATATATATATATATATATATATATGCACACACACACACCATGGAATAATCATATATTTCATAATTTACTTTTTGTGACAGGTTCCTATTGAATAATTAGGAAAATAGTGATGGATAAAGAATGGATGCACATCTCTTACAGGTTATTATATGTAGTGGAATGTGTTTATAAAAGTTAAATCTTTTACACTAATTTTATATTTAATTAAAAGTTAAAGCTTTAATTTTATAGAGTTGATCCAAAGTATATAGAAGGAGCACGAAGGTTTGCCGATTGGGCTCAAGAGAATGCGGGGCATCCAGACAAGATTCTATGCCCTTGTAATGAATGTCGAAATTCAGTACACCAACACTTTGACACAGTATATGGTCATGTAGTGGAACATGGAATGGATCCAACATACACGACTTGGTACTTTCATAGGGAATATCCGAGTGAATCTCCCTAACATGGAAATGATGGAAATGATGTTGAAATGCCAGAGACATATGAGATGTATAGAGATGTTTTCTATGATGATGACAATGATGGTGTTTCGGATCTTAACTATGAAACAAGAGAGGCTGAGTTTCAGAAGGCATTGGAAAATGCTGAGACCCCTTTATATCCTGAATGCACAAAGTATACAATTATGTCTACAATTGTTGCCTTATATAAGCACAAAGCAATATAATTTATCGGATACATGTTTTGACGGGTTTCTTAAAACTTTTGGGGATATGCTTCCTGATAATAACAAACTTCCTGAGAGCTTTTATGAAACCAAGAAAATTTTGAAGACATTTGATTTAGGATATGAGAAAATAGATGCCTGTAAGAACGACTATTATTTGTTTACAAAAGAGAATAAACACATGAATGGATGCCCAAAATGTGGTGCTTCGCGGTGGAAGGAGAATGAACGCCCTAAGAAAGTTCAAGATGGTGTCCCAGCTAAGGTGTTACGGTACTTTCCAATAGTACCAAGGTTTAGAAGAATGTTTTGGTCCCCTGAAATAGCAGAACAAGTAATGTGGCATTCAACTCATAGAAGTCGAGATAGGAAGATGCGACATCCGGTTGACACTCCTGCATGGCATGAGATAGATAAAGCATGGCCTTCTTTTGCATCAGATTCACGGAATTTGAGACTTGGCCTTTCAACTGATGGATTTAATCCATTTGGTAACCTTAGTTCAGCATATAGTTGTTGGCCAGTGATGTTGGTGGTTTATAATTTTTCACCATTAGTACTCATGTCTAAAGAAAATATGATGTTGATATTACTAATCCCAGGGCCAAAGCAACCGGGGAATGATTTAGATGTGTATTTGGAGCCACTTATAGATGATTTGAAAGAGCTATGGGATAAAGGCATGGAAATTTATGATGCATTTGCAAAGTCAAAATTTAATTTGAAGGCAATCTTGATGTGGACAATAAGTGACCTTCCAGCTTATAGTAACCTTTCTGGTCATGTAACAAAGGGTAAAAAAGCTTGTCCAATATGTAGTGATGACACATGCTCAAATAGATTGAATTATTGTACTAAGACTATTTACTTGGGTCATCGCCGATTTCTGTCTCTTACTCATCAGTTTCGGAAAAAGAGGATTTGGTTTGATGGGAGTGAAGAACACAGGTGGAGGCCTAAAATATTGTCTGGGACTGAAATTTTTCATGCTGTGAAAAATATTAAAAATGATTGGGGCAAAAAAAGAAAGATAAAACTAGGTGTCAAGCAAATAGGTGGAAAGAGAAAACAAAAGTAAAAAAACGGGAATTGTGGCGTGGAAGAAAAAATCTATATTTTTTGACTTACCTTATTGGGAGGTAAGTAATTGTAATAGTAATTTGTTTCATTATTTTAATTTATATTGTAGTTCATAATATGTCCTAAAAAAAACTTATTTATCTTTATTTGTTTTTAGGTATTACTCATTCGTCATAATTTAGATGTAATGCATATTGAAAAAAATGTTTGTGAGAGTATTATTGGGACCTTATTGAACATAAAAGGAAAATCAAAGGATGGACTCAAGTCTCAAATGGATTTGAAGGGAATGGGTATTAGGGGAGATTTGCACCCACAAGAGTCAAAAGGGAAACATTACTTGCCACCAGCACCTCATACACTAAAGAAGGAAGAAAAACAGCTTTTTTGTAAGCGATTACAACAATTAAAACTACCGGATGGCTACAGTTCAAATATCGGGACACATATATCATTGGATGAATGCAAGTTTACTGGCTTGAAGTCTCATGATTATCATGTCCTAATGCAACAACTACTACCGGTAGCGTTACGAGATATTCTACCAAAGGGTCCAAGGAATGCCATATTTCGACTATGTGCATATTTTAATGAAGTATGTCAAATGGTGATTGATAAGAACTCATTGGAAAAACAAGAAAAGGAAATTGCCGAGACTCTGTGTATGCTTGAAAGATATTTTCCTCCATCCTTTTTTGACATTATGATTCACTTGACTATTCATATTGCACGCGAAGCTCGTATTTGTGGACCAGTAAAATTTCGTTGGATGTATCCATTTGAGAGGTACTTCTATCAAATTTTCTTTCTTTTACGTAGTTAGATAAGTAATTTGATAACATATGTTTATTGTATTTATGTGCTTTAGGATGATGAAGGTTTATAAAGGATATGTTAGAAATAAAGTGAGAGCTGAAGGATGCATAGCTGAGGGCTATTTGGCTAAAGAGTGTGTGCGGTTTTGTAGTGAACACATCAAACAAGCTTCTGAAATAGGGGTGAGACATTCACAAAATGAGGATTTTGAAGGCGAAACAACAGTAGATGGCCGTCCAATTTCGAAAGGGATCCCGAAAATGATGTCAAATGACATGTTAGAGATTGCTCACCGTTATGTCTTGTTCAATTATGCCGAGGTGGAGCCGTATATAGAGTAAGTGGGATAATGTCACTACTAATTAATTTATTTTATTATATTAATATATATAAAAAAAAACTTAGTTGTAGTATTTGTCTTACAGAAAACATTTGGAGGAGCTTAAGCATATGGACAGGCGTCTCATAAAGAATGAAAGTGCGTTACAAAAGAAACATATGGAGACTTTCTGTTCGTGGTTTGCAAAAGTAATTGATGCAGCTGGTAGTGATGTGTCTGATACAATTATGTATCTTGCAAATGGGCCTAGAAGAGAAGTCACTTCACATTCTGGATATATTGTTAATGGACAACAATTTCACACTAAGAATGTGGAGAGAAGCACACAAGACAGTGGTGTTTCGATTGAAGTGGAAACAATATGTCAATCCAGTGCAAGAGACACAAATCAAGTTGTTGGAAAAGTATCTTACTATGGTGTTTTAAAAGATATTCTTTTATTAGATTACTACACATTTAAAGTTCCAATATTTGATTGTGAATGGGCAAACATTAGAAATGGCATCAAAGTTGAAGATGGATTTGTATTGGTTAACCTTCATGAAGGTCAAAGTCAGTTTCGAAGAGATCCCTTTATTCTTGCTTCATAGGCTAAGCAAGTTTTTTATTCAAGGGACAAAGAAACATCCAATTGGTATGTTGTACTTAAAGCACCACCAAGAGGTTTTAATGAGTTGGAGTCTTTTGAAGAAAATAGTTATACGTCTTCTATGCCACTAGATGTATCAAGATTGGGCTCAAACAATGATGATGGGGATGAACATTATGTGCGGTTGGATTGTGAAGGCATGACTGTGTAATTCACAGGTAGTGTCTGCAGTTTCTTTTGTTTGTTACTTTTTCCTAGCTTTTCTATGCATATTGATGCATACCCAAAAGAGCTGCTTTTCGGACCTCAACCTGCCTATCAAATATTTAGGTTTTCTGAACAAAAGAGCTATATATATATTTTTTCATATCTGAACAATTTAAACATGGTTTTCTAATTTTCGTAGGTTTGGATTTGTATGTTGACACAATTCAGATTGTTTAGCTATTGGACATGAGTTGTTTATTTGTCATCTTTATTATGTGTCTGTTTATAGTAATATATATATATATATATATATATATATATATATATATATATATATATATATAAAATGATGTTAATTGATTCATTGCATCTTGTGTATCTCTTATAATTATATAAAAATGGACTTTTTGTTTTTATAAATAGGTCATTCTCATTATAAGAGCAGGGGAGGAGGAAATTGAAGAGGGAAAAAGATAGCTAAATTTCAGCATGCGTGGTCCCACAAAAGTAAGTAAAATACACATTTATTTAAAAAAAATTTTATGCCTTATATTAACTTGTAATGGATTGTTTTCTTTTCTTATTTTGCAGGTGTTGTCCATAAAGTCCTCCAAAATGGCTCCAAAAAAAGGAAGAAGGGAGCGAAATGCTACTGTGACTACATTAAGGAATCAAGGAAATGAGGGGATTAGTATATCAGAGCGAGATTTAAACTCTCCCCACACACAGTTGGGTGGACAATCTGGAGGTTCTCCTGGACTTCCACTCGATCATGATAGTGGAAGTTCCTTTGCAAATAAGGCTGCAACAAATACCTCTACTGGCAAGGGTACTCATAAAGGTAGAGGTCAGGCAAAATTAATAGTCGTTGATTCACCACTTCCTATTCAATTCAATGAAAGAGGGCAGCCAGTTGGTTCGAATAGCGAAAATTTTTCTAGTAGCTATGGAGTACTAGCACGAGAGAATGTACCAATCTCATGTCAAGACTAGAAAAAAGCTTCAAAAGATAAACAACGTCTCCTATGGGTAGCTATAAAGGTATGTTATTTTCAACATCTAATCACCAAAAGTATACAATTTTGTTTTTGATTGTTGAGTTTGCAGATTATAGTTTAAAGAAAATAAAACATAAATATACTCAAAAGTATATGATATTGTTATTGACAGTTTGATTCTTACACTCAACGTAGAAACTATTTGAAGTGCCTGATTGTCATAGAAAATCAACTTTTCAAAGCATGGGAAAGAGTTGGAGTGATTACAAATCATGCCTTACCAATGATATAATTGAAGCGGAAGGTGACACAGAAGTCATTAACTCATTGAGACTTGGCAATATAAAATCAATTGAAGAGTGGCAACAGTTCGTCAGTGATCGACTCTCTGATAACCACAATGTAAGTACAACATTGATCGAATTATGTTCTCTTGTAACTTTATTATTTAAAAAATATTAATTATATTATTTATTTATAGGCAAAGAGACAAAAATTTCAAGACTTGCGAAGTATGCAAAAGTTACCACACACAACAAGTCGTCGGGGGTATGCTCGTCTAGAGCATAAAATGGTAAGTGGTACTTACTCTTATTGTTTATTGTGGTTGATTTATGCTCTCTCATTTTTTTTCACCTATGCTTTGATGTATTAGAAGAGCAGCCTTGAGAAAGCATATGGTCCTAAAACTTATATTTATAGACTTAATTATAATCGTCAGCTTAGTATTTAGTAAAAAGGAGTGAGGTTTGAAAGTTCACTTAGCAATGTAGGTCAAATAGAGATTCAAGATAGGTTCTAACAGCATAGTATTAGAATGTTAAACTTGCCCATAACATCAACACACAGTGCACATCAAGTTAATTACACAAATCAGTTTAAAACTCAACTTCAGCAATGCTTCTGCAGAACCTTTTTTACACAGTCTGTGTACCTTATGATATAGGGGTAACTTGGTAATTTTTTTGATATTGGACCTGCTCGAGATACTTACAGGCTTGTTTCATCAACAAATGAGCATCTTGAATAGTTTCTCAGCCCTTTAATTTTTTGATAAGCATTTATGCTATTTCAAATAACTATAGATATGACGTTCTAAACTCATGTCTTTTGCATTATTTATTGTCTTGTGTAGAAAAAAGAAAGTAATGCGCCCAACTCTATATCAAGAGTCGATGTGTGGATTGCAGGTCACTTGAGGAAGAATAAGGAACCTTTGAATGATGCAATAGGAGTGGCAGTGGTAATATATCTTACGCTACTGTATTTTGTTATTTTCATGTATTTCGTTTACAAACATTGATAAATTATGGAATTTCAGCAAAAAATGAGAGATTACACCCAAACCCAACCTGAAGGCACAAGCTTTCTTCAAGATGATGGAGTCACTCACGTATTTGGTGCCGAACATTGAGGACGGGTTAGAGGCCTCGGTTTTGGAGCTGCAATTTAAAAAATGCAAGCAATTGGTTATCAGAAGGAGCAAGCAAAGAGAATGGAAGAAATGATGAATGACATGAAAGATGAAATGAGGAATGAAATCAAAGCTGAAATGATGGTTGAGATGAAAGCTTTGTTGGTAAGTCTTATAACTAGTATTACAATTTATAGTGAAGTTAAACATAATTATATACATATAATTCCCTGTCAATATGTCATTTGAATATAAAGAACTAATTATGTTTAATCTATGTTTTGGTCAAAATGCTTGTGTTGCTTCTCAGTCCAATGCTACGCCAAATCTTATTCCAACTAATCTGCAAGGTTACATGTGTGAGCTGTTACACTTTAATGGATCAGGCGTAGTTGTTGCCAAGGCTGAGATTGCATCAACAGATCCCGATGCACTGTCAGATGATTATGTTCCAGTCGGTCTAGATTGTTTGAATGTTTGGATTAATGATGTCATCGACAAGGATTGTCCTTTGTATCGAGCAAACCAATTTGAATTTTTTTATCTTTGTGATGCTCGCACAAGCATGGTTTTATGGTTTACCAAATATGTAAAAGTTCTAGAGGTCAATTGGTCATTCATTATTTTTTTATTTTTATTTTTTTGAAAAGTAGTAATTAACATATGATTTGATTTTATTTTCTTTTATTTTTTTTTATATATGTTGGCATTACATTTTTAATTTTTTTCCTCACAGGATCTATTTTAACCAGCTTAGTAGGAGCATAACAAAACCATTACTTTTGAAGTAAGATTAGGAGTATAGTTCTGGTTCTCAATCTTCATCTCTGGTAGGTATGTTCTGAATTCTACTAGCTAATGCAGTTCATTTATCAATTATTACTATGTGAAGTCATGGGTCCTTGTCGTGGCCATTACTTTAATGTTGAAAGCATGGGTCATTGTCGTGGCCATTACTTTATTGCATTGATATAACATGGGAGTATGGGAACATCGTATGTGGAGGTTGTGGTTGATTGGTATTTGTTGTTGATTGTTGTGAAGTTGTTGTTGGTTGTTGTTGTGTACGTGAGGTATAAAGTTAGGTATTATAGAGCAACCTATTGGTTTAATAAAAAAGGTTAGGTATTACTTGCAAAGGATTTTTTGTCTTCTTTTTTGTGAAGAAAATAATAGTTCACAAGGAAAAGAGGAAGGTCTATTCACTAGTGTCCACAAGATTTTTTGTCTTCTTTCTTGTGAAGAAAATAATAGATCATTTGCCTTAGTATGTGATAAACCTTATGTATACTGCACTGCTTTTATCAGTAAAACAAGTGGCCATTTGGGATAACGAGTTGGAAGAATGAGATCAGTAACACAACAATGAATTAAACAGCTAGTAATAGCAGAAAAGATCCAAAATAAATGAAATTCTGGTACTTAAAAAGAAACACACATATATATTTAAACCTGCCTGCCCCGACAACCATATGCCGGAATACTAAATAAGGTAGCTAAGGTGAATCTTTACAGTGGAAGACCAAGAAAGAAAAACAGTTCTAGAATCCTGTGAATTCATAGTTCATTCTAATAGATTATGGTCTATCTTAAATGAACTCCGCTAGAAATGACAAGTCAAGTTAGTGTTAAGTTTCAGGTTCATCTATTTCCCAAAGATCATCAATCAACATTTCAGATCCCATGTCAGAACTCATGTCATGTCATGTCAACACTTATAATGTAGGGTAAAGTAAAGAATGCAAATAACAGAGGTTATAGGAATTATCGCTACTGCAAAATCTCATTTGACAAAGAGCTCTCTTCAATAAAAAAGAAAACAAGCACAAGTAGGAGCTGCTAACCTCTGACAGGTTGTAAGTATGAGAAATGTGGATGGTGATTAAGCCCTTTGTCAACCAGGTAGCAATTCATTCAAAGATTCTTCTAGTACACGTGGTTGATGTATTTTACAGCTTCCCCAGTAAAGACCATGAATTGTCCAGTTCTGAGAAACAGTACGTACAAAGAATTTAGAACAGATTATTAATCAGATCTTATAGATTATAAAATCATGTGCTTAGAACCAATTTTGAAAGTCAAACAAGCTTAGTTGAATATCAAAGACCTGGAATTGTCCAGTTCTGAGAAATATTATATACAAAGAATTTAGAACAGATTATTAATTAGAACTGATATATTGTAAAATCATGTGCTTAGAACCATTTTTGAAAATCAGACAAGCTTAGTTGAATATCAAAGGCTGTCCCTTTTCCTGTAAGTTCAGTATATATATATGTGTTAGAAATTTAGATCAAGCACTCACCTTAACTATGAAGATTTATGTCTTCAAAGAAAGAACACATCCCCTTTAGAAGGTAAAATCACTCCAATCCTGCCCAAAAACCTTCAAATAAATTAATTTCCTTTTATTTAATAATTAAATTCAACAAATTTCAATCTTAATATTTCTTGATACTCAATATACATTAAAGATTATATGCCAAAATTGGCCTAATGGCAATTAGAGATTTAGATTTTTTAAACATAAAAGGAAGAATTTAATGAGCCAATCCTTTGTATGCAAATTCATGAACAACACATTCAAGGTATATTGCCAGATTAGCAAACCAAAGAGTACTGCTGCCACAAACTACTTAAAATTTTAAACCAATTAAAATATATACACATCTTCTAAAACGCAACAAAGAAAATCAATTAAACCAACCCATCATTAATGAAAATCAATACAACCCACCCCACCATTATCAACTATACACATCTGTATATTCATCTATTCATCTTTAAGACGCAAAAAAGCTAAGTAGAGATAGAAGAGTACTAGGAACAATCGCCGGGGGGGATACAAAATCAGCACATGGCATTATTACACTTGCGAAGAATGGAAGCCTAGAAATATATATGTGTCAGTTCTGGAAGGCATGACATGGATGGGAAGAGCTAAACCTATTGTTCGAACCTCAAAAAGAAAGAACAATTGCATCTAGAACCAAAAGCACTGGTTGTATTGGTGTGCTTCAGGTACTTCAGGAAGTGGGATTGGTGCACAAGTGATCGAAGAGTCCGCTCTCACTCTATATCTCCCCTCCCTGCTGACAATAGAAAAGAGTCCTCTGTGCTAGCTTACACTCTAGCAATCAATACTCATCTGCGGAGCCACTGGAAACCACAACCAAGTACTATAACCAATAAACAAAAATAGATAAAAATAGTTCTAAAGCTCCCCTAGCTCTGCCAATCATAAGCTAGCCCATGTATGCAATGATGTTCACACAGAAATTCCAGTGTGTGTATATATATGTGTTTGTGAAATCTCTCTCTATTTTCACTTGTTGATATGATTCTAATAATTTCTCCAATATGTTTTTCTTGTAGTATATTATGTTGAAGCCAATGAGTTCTTTAATATGTCCTCTTGAACTAATTGTTAGCATGAGCTTAGCTTTGTTGTTGTTTTACAACTATTAACTATATTTGTTCCATCTTAAAGTTATTTTTTCTTTGATGTCAAACTATCAATATGCCTTAGAGATTTAAAGAACATAACAGTTATGTTTCTTACATTCTATGTTTAAACCTTTATTAGCAGTTAACATTCCTGGTAATCAAGTTGTAGATGTGGAACTTGCACTTGCGGGGTGTTTGCCCTTTTTTGACGTTTTTGTTCTATCTGGAATTGGACGATTGCATGACGGAGTTGAGTCCCTGGCAAAGCATGGGCATGTGGATTGCATATTTCTTTTTGGGGTTTTTTTTATTGTTTTTGGCTTCTCAAAGTGTGGGACTCCATTTTTAATCACACCTTGGTAAATATTTTAGAGAGTATAAAATAGAAAACTACCATTTTGTCATTACTTCATATACATTATTATCATACTAAAATTAGGACTTGTGTGATGCAGGTACTTTCTTGGATTTTGTACAATGGACAACTAAGTGGAGGAAGTGTGAAAAATTAGAGGTCAACTTGCGTAAAGAATTAATGAACAATGTGAAGATTGATATCTATTTTTGGGCAATATTGAATTTTCTTTAATTTTGGCACGTTGAATAATTAATGATGAATTGTAAATTAATGTCTTACTCTTTTGATATATGTTTAATAGTGAATTTAAAAATGAATTATTTTTGGAATTGGTATTAAGTGTAAATTTTTAGCA